AAAAGGGGGGGGGGCTTGTTTCTCACCCTAAGCAAAGATCAAAGTACCACAACTGTAGTGATTTATGTATATCTGTACATAAATCTTGCCTGTGAAGTGCAGAAGTAACTAGCATTCCACAGTCTTACTAAATATTTGAATTGGAATCAATTTAAGAGTTGGGTTTTTTCCCCATGAGTAAGGAGTTGATAAACCAATACAAAAGGGAAACCGGAGGTTATTTCTTCGCTCAGTACTTACAAATGCAGTGGGGTCTAAACCAATAGTAGAGGAGAATGACCAGCCTGGACAGATCAGCACTTTAGTTAATATCAGTTAAAAAAATGTATATGTATATAAACATCCCTTTTATCAAGCTACACATAAGCATCACTGTGTATAACACAATTACAATTAAAAGCTTAGTGTACACTACAGAAATGCACAATACTGCCCTAAGACTGGAGAGGGACCACAGAAAATGAATTCAGCGTCAGTAACTCTTTTGCAAGTAACCCAAGTACAGAACATTTGACTTCAAAGTGGGTGCTTTCTGATGTCCAAGGAGAAGAAGCTTCAGCAAGGGAGGGTGGCAACAGCACAACAGCTATTCTGCTTTCAAAGTAAATGCTAGGAGGAAAAAGATGACTGAGACACTTTGTTTATTTTCCTCGTCAACAGAGTGTTCATTTGCATCATCCTGGGTCAACAGTCACGCCAGCTCTGTTCTACTATTGCAGAAACCCGTTTTTCATATTCCCGCTTATTCTCCTGGTATAGCTGAGCTGCCTGGCTGTTTGCTGGACTGTTAGGATTTGGCTCATCCAATAGAGACTGTGCAAAGAGAAAAAGATTCTTAGGCACTTGAAAGTATGCGTAGTTTTCCAACACATTCCTTAAACTATCCACACTGATAAGAGTGCAGAAGTTCATCTAGATACAGGTAAGGTACATCGCATTATTCCAGTTGTAAGTTATTGGAAGCTTTCGCTGTCAGTCTTACTCTTAGCAGTGCAGGTGGCTGTTTAGTTGGCAGCCAAGCAGCAATACCCAAGGAGTGCAACCCCCAGATGGGTCCCTTCAGTGACCACCTGCCGTCACTGTCTGGTCAATTTACATCTGGGAAGTAGTCACACTTTAGCAAATATCAAGGTACAGCTGCTACACTGGCTATCAAGAGGGAAAAAAAAGCGTTTCCTGAGCTGTTTTTGTCAAAGCATCCTAATTTCATTCTGCCTTTTCATGCAGAGTTCTTTTTACCTGTATGGATGTTAAGATGGAGGAGACATCGTAAGTAGGACTCCAACGATTCTGAAGAATATCCAGACATATACTACCATCTGCATAGACTAGAAAAGGTTCAAGAAGAATGGCTTAAAACAGAAGTTGTACAGCTACTCAGTTTTTTCCTAGTATTGCCTGATCCTGAAAACCTACGTACTGACAAACAAAGAAGGCAATAGCGTCCGACAGACTTAAATCCAGCAAACAAGCCTGCAGGTAGGAAGAGGTGAAGCTTGTCACCGACAGCTGCCTGAGGTATTTAAACTCAACCCCTGCTTATTCTTCTATGTCAAGCCTCTCTGTGACATTGCAACTACCGCTATGGAAAACCATGAATGGATTTTAAGGCAAAACAATTTAAGCTACCCACAAGTGAACCAAATGAAGGACACGAGCAAAAAGCTGTTTACGCAGAAGGTTTCCCCAGAAACTATCTACACCAGTCAGTGTCTAGCCACCTTTCTCATGGCAGCTTTAGAAGAACCTTCCCTCAATGCACTTTACCCACACATGCTTACTTGCTGCGTTTGAAAGTTTCTAGTATTTCTTCACAAAGCTAGTATTTGTTTGGAGGCAAGGAATACAGCTCCAACCTTTAACTACCAAGGAAGGGGATTAATTAAACAGTCTTACTATCACTGGCTGTAGTCGGAAACTAGCACTACATTTCAAAGTATATCATTCTTACAGGCATTTTGGGGAAGAAAAGCGATAAAATTTCTTCACAAAGCTAGTATTTGTTTGGAGGCAAGGAATACAGCTCCAACCTTTAACTACCAAGGAAGGGGATTAATTAAACAGTCTTACTATCACTGGCTGTAGTCAGAAACTAGCACTACATTTCAAAAGTATATCTTCTTACAGGCATTTTGGGGAAGAAAAGTGATAAAAGACAACTGCATTCAGCAGTGTCATTATGCTATGTATGCAATAACTATAGACAAAAGTCCAAGGCACTGCTATTTAAGTACAAAATATTCTTCTGTAAGGTTTAACAACAGGCAGTTGAGAGAAGAACGTCCCATCAATACTGTGCTGTAACACCTGAAAGGTAAGAGGCTCCTTTTATTGCCCCTTTCATTTCAAGCCTGAGAACTGCTCACATATTCATCCTTACCAAAACTACACAGAACCACACTGGAATTTTGCTAGCTTATTAGATAGTGGAAACTTTTATAATAAATAAGACCTTTTTCTACAGCACTATGGCAAACACAAAAAACCAACAACAACAAAAAAAGCATTGTCTATGTACTTACCATTTGGATGAAACATTTTAGAGACAAATCTAACAGTAGGTGGCTTATTCGGATATTCTTCTGTGAATTCTATTGTAAGTTTGAAAGTTCCTGGAGTTGAAAGAGAGATAAGTAACCTTTATTCAGAGTGAATTTAAACAAGTAGCATCCCTCCACAAGTACAAACTGTACTATTGTGCTCATACATGCATGTTGGATATGGAATACAGATTGCTCAGTCCTACAATGATTCTTCTACTTTCTTCGGAGTTAATCATTAACTCTGAAGTCCTAGACAGTACTGGTACGAGAGTTTCTCCTGTGACTTACTTTTATAGCTAAAACCACCACCCCAGTCAAAAGGTTTGTGTAAGGAAATAAATCTGCCCTTCCACAAAGCCTAATCCCAGTGCGCTGTAAAAACAACACAAGTGGGTGTATAACCATCTGTGTAACAGGCCATGATTAGTAAGTCCTAGAGACTGGAATATGCTATCACGACAAGGACCTTCATATTTATTTCCTGTTTAAATTTCAAGAAAATACATTTTTATCAACAACTGTAAGGTAATCAGGTCTTATCGTAGAAAAGCAGTATTGAAAGCAGCATCCAAATAAAAATCTGCTCATTTACTTCACAATAACTAGTCTTCCTTTGAGAAAGACTGATTAGGCTGAAACAGAAAACTGTGTATTTAAGTCCCAATCCAATCGTTTCGACAGCCTGCACCAACATAAGTCATTTTAGCCCTTCTCCTCAGGCTATGACAATCTTGAGGGTAAGAAGTCTGTCAACTAAGCTGCATAAATATGGGTCCAAGGGACTAAGCACTGCTAGTGATTCAGATCAGTGACTAAGGAACTCTACACACTCCACTTCAAAACATGCAAGCTTCTCTTTACCATGCTATCGCCTCAGACCAACCAACCCGGGAGGCAGTTTATGAAGTTCCTGGGTATGCCCAGAAAGAGATATCTGAAGCACCTTCATATAAATATACAGCTCTCCTGTAAAAGGAATGTACTTTACAGTAATAGCTGTAACGAGCTGCCAGGGCAGACATATTACCTTTTTTGAAAAGGCATTCTTACGTATCAGTGACAGGTTTTTTTTCCTCCCAACACTCAGTGCCCAAATTAAAACTCCGGGGCTCAGATATAAAGTTCATCCTTGTTTCCTACTGTGAGGGAGTTTTCCACCACTAACATAATTAATGTATTCCTTCGTTTGGCTGGCAAACATGTGCCAACAGTTGGTGGCCAGAGAACAGATTTTTCAACCCCTTCTCCTTTTTTTCAGATCAGCAAGGACCTGCAGTATTTCCCAGGGACTCCTTCCTTTATAAGGAGATAAACTGTAACATTGAGTTGCAAGAAATGAAGGTCATTGCTTTGACGTTCCAGTTTGCATATGAAGACAGAGTACAGATGCTTCAGAGCTTTCTGTACAGCAGTGGGAAGTCTCAACGTCCTAAAAATAAATTTTTGCATGTTTGTTATTTATTAGCAGCCTAACAAAATAAGAGCAGAGCGCCAACAGCATGCTATCTTACTGTAAAACAAAAGGAACAAGAGCAGTATAGTCAAGATTGTTTAAATTAGCAGAAGTCTGCAGTGGGGCTTTCAAGCTTTACTCCAGCTAATCCAGAGGCACAGAGCCAGATCTGAGACCAGTCTGAAAGCCAGCAACAACTTCTACCAGCTGCAAACGTCAGCTCAGGACTACCTTTCCTTCCCTACACGGTGACAATCCCAAGCAATATTAGCCCTTCAGAAGCGAATGCTTAGAGATTTGAGTCTAAATCTTAGAGATTCCCAGCTCTCCCTGCCCCACTTCTGGTTCTCAGTAGCCTGCTTCTGAGGTAAGAAAGCAGGCACTTTCTTCTGTGGAAGAGTGACTAAGCAAGTAGCAGGCTGAAAACTGAGCACAAACCATCAAATAGTAGAGTTCAACAAGCATACTTGAGAAAATGAATGCTATTCTAGAACACTGACTGAAGTGGGAGCAGAGGGGACAGATAAGATGGCCAAAAAGCAGTAACAAGGGCAGTTTGGTCTTAGAATCCCTTTAAAACTACTGAAAGAAAGGGAAGCTATCTGTCCCACCTGGGACAGGATGGCACTACTTTTAACACAAATCTGAGTGAGTGGTTAGACAGCTTCCAGCTGGAGTATCTACCTACTCAAATTTCCAAGTCAAGACGCAGAGTGGCAATGGCTCTTTGAAAGAGCTCCGCAGTACACACCACCTCGTTGTTGAGCTTTATTAAAGGACAAATCCAGAGATTCGATGAACCAAAGTCCAAGGGTCACTCACACTGAAAGCCCACACAAGTGAAACAGGTATCACAACACACACTGCTGGGGATGAGGCCTTCAGTGTCCAGTCTCTTCTGTCACTAATTTTAAAGCTTTCAACTGGTATTCCTTGCAACTTGCCCTAGACAGCCAATTTTAAAACATAAATTATCACATTCACTGTCATTATTGATATTAGGATCATCACTGATCTTAGGAGAACATTCTCTTTTCTCTCTCTTGTACTTACTTACCTTGTTGGTCTGTTTCTCCTACCTCAGGATGTGAGACTCTCACACGGCTAACAGAGAGGCCTCTCCACAACCTGTACGCCGGCCCGAGTAACCCCCGCCAGAGCAGCACCCATGTCCCTGCCAGGCCCTTCTCGCTGCAAGGAGCAAAAGCAGCCCCCTCTATTCCACTGTCCGTAAAGCAGGGATGATCTCTTCCTCTCCCGCATGAGGATAGAGAATCCATATTCCTTAAGCAAGGAACAAACCATACAGAAGGCAAATGCCTTGCTTTCTCTGTTCAAGCCTCCTGCATGATGACAGCAAGGCAGGATACTACAATAGCTGTGTTACTTAACTCTCTCCAAGCCAGGAATCCTGCACTAACCACAATATCATCATCCAGTTTCAGAGAAACAGGTCTGAAGGACTGGGAGAGCCTGGGTTTCCATCACTGTGACAGCACTACCACTTTAGATGCCACACACATACAGATTCTTAGAAATATGGTGAAGGGCAGGATAAATATCCCCGGGGTCCTACTGCAGACGCCTGTAATCGAATCCTCTTAAACCAGAAGATGGAAGTTATGCTGCCGATCTAAATTAGTAGTTGCTCCTAGGCCGAGTCAGCCTGCGCACCGAGTTGTGAAAACACCCTCTGAAGTCTGGGGGTGGAGGAGAGGAAGGGTTGTTAGCTGCATTATGCTGCACAGCAAGTAAACAAACGCATTTGAACTTAAGGTTTTCAGTTCAGACAAAGCTAAGACACCACAGAAGCTGAGACTGGAGAAGGGCCTCACCAGAATGAGGATGAAAAACAGTAATTCTCACAGTGTTGAAGTTTTTACACCTCTAGTTCAACAAAAAAAATTTTCACAGGCTACTTTCACAAGAACTAAGGCATCTGAAGTCTTACAGTATCACCAGGAAGTGACAGAGCCTAAAAACGAAAATACAAAGCGACTTCTGAAAAACACTGCCCTGCAAAGGCTTCATGAGAAGGATTACAGAGCTCCAGCGTACCTTTGACTCACAAGGGCCTGCACAGTTACAAAACAAGCCCAAACTAACAGCTCAATAGTGTTAAACAAAAATTCCCTTAATTTTACCTACATTAAGCTAAACTGCATCTGAACTGTGCCACCATTATCTGAACTGTGCTACTGTACTCAATGGAAAAGCACAGCCGAGGCACCAATACCCCCATATCTCTAGGCACCACTTAGTATTTTGTTATCTAGCACAATGTAAGATATGTTCCAGAGAAAAGGAGATAAGCATATCCTGCAACACAAGACATATCTGTCTTCCTGAGTGCATACTGTGAAAACACACACTTTGCTATGAAAAGAGCAATCCACCACACTCCGAGATTGTATTATTAGATCAACCAAAGCAGTCAGACAGCAGTGGCAGACTCAAGCATCTGTTTGAACTTCCAACTGCTGTGAGTGCAACATGTCCTAAGTATTTGAGATAAAGACACAATGCTGCCACAGTGGAAAGCACAGATGAAATCAATATGTCAGGGTTCTCAAAAGCAGTCTCCAACCTTCTGCAACTAAATGGAAATATATGGAAAAAAGCCCTTATAGCATCTGTTAACCCCACACTGATCTGGAAGAGCCTGAACATGGAAACAACCTGCATGTTAGCACACTGCAAGGAGACGGCTTTCCGCTCTCAACAGTGAATCACTCTATTAGTGGCAGTCCACCAACAGCAACCCTCACAGAAGTTTAAGGGAGCCCTTCTTAAGATGAGGTAACAGAATACGTTTAGTCTACCTGTTCTATTATGTGATGTTATGGAATACTCAAGTTCTAAACATTAGACTTCTGAAGCAGCTACTATAGCAAGTTTCTTAACTAATCAAATGCATTAAAAAAAAGTAACTGGAATCTTTGGAGTTTTCTTAGGCCTGAAATATTTAAAGTCTTCAGTATCTTCACAGAAAAAAAAAAATCTGCAATTTACAGGCATGCCCACAGGTGCTACCTCCGAGGAAAAACAGAGACAAAGGAGTTAGCCAAGAACAACATAAGAGTTAAGGAATTTTTCCTATGCTTTCGTCATGAGTCATGGAGATCTAGGATTAATTATAGCCTACACTGAAAGTATCTTAAAAAAATGCATCAGATTTCAGTTAGACAGTATTTCATGTCTAACAAGTTTTCACAAAAATGAAGTATTCATACAGCATCAGTAAAGCTATAGAAGACAGTAAGACCAGACAGAAACTACTACGACACAGGTATGTTACAAGGACCTATTTAGTCAGCTTTTAAAGTTAGAATGTCCTTTTAATCTTTAACCCTGAATGATACCGATTGTAGCAGAGTGAATTAGATACCAAGGAAAAAGAAAAAAAAAAAAAATCTGTTCTGAACTTCCTCAAACATTCAGCCCATTTCCTACTTCAGCTGACTCACGTTGGGACTTACTCGCAAAACACTTCCAGCATGAGAAAAAAACAGAACTCAAAACAAATGACGACGGTTCTATACCAGGTTTTTGACAGTTCTCCAAATATGTCCCTAAAAACATGATCCAGGGTTCAACAGAAAAGCTTAGAGATCCTTAAAATGGTACGTTAAATTAGGCTTAGGATAGTCAGATTTAGTGATTACAATCAAGCCCCTACAAGCTAATTTGTATGTTTCTGTACATCAACATAGCAATCTAAATCTACACCACTTTCTTGGAGTACGATTAAAAAAACCCCAGTATTTACATAAGTCCTGGAAGCAGCATACAGATGTGTGGCAGGGTGAATATGCAGCCATGTCCCTTCTCCATCCCCAGGCCCACACCTGTTGCAAAGTCCACGGCAGTGACACACCAATGCCGTGTCGAACTGCAGCAGTTTACCCCGAGAAAGCCAAACACCAGGCTCGCACGTAGCCGCACTTACCGTCCTCGAAAGGGGTCCCCTCGGGCCTAGAGGAGGGAAGAAGCAGAGCACAGCGTTACCCCGCGGGCAGCTCAGCTCTGCCCCC